TTAGCATGCTCTTTCCAAAGATGACACTTGAATCCACCGTTACAGCTTGTATCTGATAATCGTTTCCAACTTTGGTTTATTTTTGTCTGATTATAAAATTCAGACTCTTATTGTTTTATAATTTTCTTCCGTTTGTAACGATGAGCTTCAGCGCTTCTTTCACACAAACAAGGAGCGGCCGTCTCCTCGTCACTTTCCACTCAGTAGGCCATCTTTGTTTGTGTGGTCACGATGGTGATGTCTGTGATCTGTTGATGGAAGACAGGAAGTGTTTAAACCTGACGACGGTCCGTTTGTTTTTACCGAAGCTAACGGTGGCGCCGCTGAACCTGCGTTAGCGTGTTGGATGTGTTTTCCATTCACAATGAGGATTATCTATCCTGGTTTTAAACACAAACCCCTCTCTTCACTGCCTTTGATCCTGCAGGTATTTATTCCAGCTGTGCACTTTCATCAGTGTTCGCTACAGTATGATGGACTCGCTGTGCTAACCTTAGCACATGTTGCTACCGCTAAAAATGGACAAGAACTTGCACTTATTTCCAGATAACAGAGACGGAGTTCGGTTGTAAAACGTTCCAATTCTTTTGAAAGGTCGCACCGAAGAGACGTCTTTTTATCGTTGTCACTTCCTGTGGAAAATCTCCAGCTCTGGTTTAGGACAGGAGCAATTTTAATTGACTTATTCCACATATTTGTCCCTTTAACAGACAGAGATAAAGAGGAAGAATAATAGTTTTTGACCGGTGCAGAACATACTAAACTTAGTTTTTTTAATGACGATTGTTCGGTTAGTAACAGAGCCTTAAAGGTGGGGTAGGTAAGTTTGAGAAACCGGCTCGAGATACACTTTTTGTTATATTCCATGGAATGCTCTTAACATCCCGATAGCAATGAATATCTGAAGTGCTTTGACAAAAAATCCATAAAAAAATGTCATCTGTGGAAGCTGTAGTACTGTAAAAAGCACGACCAATCATCTGAGCCGGCCTGGCTAAAGTAACTGGATGGCCTACCTGCCTGTCAGCCTTCCATCTGTGCACAAACTTATCTCGTGCCCTCATTGGTCATGTGCGCGTTCGTGTGTGTTGGAGGAGGGGCTCTGTATGGAAGTAGCAGATTTCTTCCGGCTGTGTATTTTCAAATTCTTGCGCACTCGAGCTGGTTTCTCCAAAATGACCGACCCCACCTTTAAGGTTCCCCTCAAATAGTCCTTATTCCCCTTATCACTGCTATTTTAGGAGGTGTATATACGTTTTTATAAACTGTCAATGCTAACGAAGCTAACTTGGCTATTAGCCTACTGGGTTTTTAGACTTGTTGTTTAGGAACGCCGTTGTTGACACCACTGATTTCTGAGGTTAAAAAAAACGCATCATCGTCTAGCAAATAATATCTGCGGTGATGGTTTGTGTTGTCAGGTTTAGGAGATCATGCAGGACACCATGGTATGTGATGGTATGGCAAACAGAAACAGAATCCACTCATCTGTCAGCTCACTTTATTTTCTCGTTTATAAAACCAAAAGCAAAGCTGAAACTCTCCGACAAACAGAATCATGTGACTCTGCTGGAGAAACATACAAAATCAAATAAATACAAGTCTAAAATTAATTCACTTTTTCATATGATGTAGCTTATAAAGAGAGAGAGAGAGAGAGAGAGAGAGAGGAGGAGGAGGAGGAGGTTAGTCGTACAGGTCTCATGACTGCATGGCTAATGCTAACGCTAAGCTAATCAACATGAGGAGTACAAAAGTAAAAAGGCTTCAAGGAAATAGAAAAAGTAAAGAAAGGTTTTATAAAACAGCAGGAAATGAAGTCATGTTGTTAGGCTGAGGCAGTGGGTGGAGTTTAGTTTTTGACGCCTCCTGCAGGATCACATGATGCTGCAGCACTTACACGGCTGCTTCTCCTTTTTCATCTCCTGCACCTCACTCGTTTCGCCCGGCGTTCCCCCGTTACTCGGCGTCATGGTGGCCTCCTCTTGGGGTTTATTAGCGGGCGGCAAGTCGGTGAAGACGGGCGTTTTGGCGGGCGTTTCGGCGGGGGAAGCAGATGTCGGTTTGGGCGAAGCAGGCGGAGGAAGAGTCGGTGTTTTGGCTTCGTCTGGTGATGTTTTCCCGTCGCCGATGAGCACCAGCTCGGCCTTCACGCTGCCCTGAACGCCCAAAACCTTCTTCGTCTCGTCTTCATCCTCCACGCTCTGGTACCCCATGAACACCATCGTGACCGGGTTTTCTGCGCTCGCCTCCTCCACGTTGACCTCGACAATCGGTTGTGCCTCCACCCCCGGGATCTCCACTGGCTCCTGGACCTCCTCCTCCTCTTTCTCCTCCTCCTCTTCCTCCTCCTCTTCCTCCTGGACCTCCGCGGTGGGGAGGGAGGTCACGGTGTCTCCGGTGTGAGAGACCACCGAGGCCTCGTCAGCTTTAAAGATAAGCTCCTCCACCTGAGAGAAGCTGAGCAGCTGGACGCCGTCATCTCCGTTCATCTCGTGGACCACTGAGAGGGAAAGGTCGAGAGGGAAGGTCAGGAACGAAGAAATGACACGGAAAATACAAAAAAACGACTCTGCAAAGGTTTCACAAAACTAGTCATTGCGGGAGCGATGTTCATTTGTGACAGTTGTTAGAAAAACTTGTAAACTTTGTACCAGAAAGTCTGATTTAGATTTAGGTCGGAGGGCACCCTTCAATACATTCACCATACAATTGAAACTTTTCAAGCTTTATAGAAAATCCTAAACTTTGTTTCTGAACATTTAAAACTGATTTTGATTGCAGTTTGTAATGAAATGCAGTCTTACGCTTCTGCACCAAATTCATGACCGAGGTATAAATATATTTCGTATGCATAGAAGTGTATCTTTGTGTTTTGAGCTTCTTGCAGCGTTTGGTTTCTGCAGCTTTTAGTAAACGCTGCGCATGTCTCCTCAAGTTGCTGAATATTCTCTAAACGCTGCATGTGTTGCTGCTGGAGATGTTTCTTCATGTGTTTTAACCAGTGGCGAGCCGTGAGCTTTATACCTAGGCCCTCTGACCCCCACCAATTCCCTCGAAAAAAAAAGAGTTATTACGTCACAGCGTATACTTCAGCGGAATATCAAAACAACGGCCCAGGGTGCAAAACGCATCAATGACAGCGACCCTCTACCACACAAAACAACACCTGTGAACCCAATTTGTGTTCTTTGACATTGAAAATGATATTGCATTGTGTTTGTTACTTTCGTTGCAGTTGTATGTCTTAAGTGTAATTTGGCATGCTTTTATTTTGAAGGCGAGTTCACGCTGTTGACAGGAAGTTGTTGTTGCTATGGAAACAAGAAAAGTTTCACAGCGGGCGGAACTTGTCATAAAGTCCGCGATAATAAAACCCACCCATTTAGAGGGAAGATATGATTGGTCAATTGTACTGTCATTTGACATTACTCTCTCGTTCAGTTACTATAGCAACCCTCTGTGAATCGCAGAGAGGGCCAGACGAGCTTCTTTCATGTAACCCACATTCAAACAGAGACTGAACAGGCAGATTCGAAGGATTTATTTCTTTGGAAATGTTATTTTAAATACAATTAAATCAAGTTTTTTTTCGGTAAAACTAATGAAAAATATAACAAAAATAATATTAAAAAAATATATATTTAAAAAAAATATTTAAAAAACAAATGTTTTTAAATATTATTTTTTAGAATATCTTAGGCCCTCACAGAGGGCCTAGAGGGCCCTGACGGCTCGCCACTGGTTTTAGCACATTTGTGTTTCTTTAATTGCACCGTTTCTGAAACTGCAGGCGTTTCTCATAATGTAAATGGCGTTGTTATGCAGTTGCAGCTGTTGGCCACCGTACCAATCCTATTCAAAATGCATCTTAGTTCTTTTTAGACACGTAAAAAGTTAAGAAATGAACGCCTTTTATGTGGAACTATTCATAACAAGAGTTAGAAGATCCAATAGAGACACGAAACACAAGATTACTTTAGGTTATCCTTAACATCTGATCTGAAGTCTGTCGGGTGTTTTCATGACAAAGAGGCTGCAGAGCGGCATCATGCGGTCAGTTTCACTTTAAGAGAGGTTCCTGCTATCCAATCAGAACTCAGTTTTTGTTTGTGTTCAACGGGAAACCTCTCGTAAAGCCGGATCTGAGTTTTCACTATATTTGTATTTTCCGACATCACCTTTCCGCTCGTCCTCGTACACTTTGACCCCGTGGTGAGAGAGGTCAACAGGAAGTGTGGTGTTAGAGGAGAGGACCCGTGTTTCCCCCGTCACTTTGTCCCGCTCTACTTTAATCTCCACCGAGTACATGGCTGGAGGGAGGGGAGGGTCAACGAAACAAACACACACACATCTAACATCAACACGTATGACAGCGTATCAGAGCCTTTAAGGTAGGGAAATAATACATTAGAGCAAGAGGAGCTGATGTTTACTTTAAAGAGTCCTCTCCTGCTGATGTTCAGGTGTATATCAGTATGTAGTGTCTCTACTTTAAAGAGTCCTCTCCTGCTGATGTTCAGGTGTATATCAGTATGTAGTGTCTCTACTTTAAAGAGTCCTCTCCTGCTGATGTTCAGGTGTATATCAGTATGTAGTGTCTCTACTTTAAAGAGTCCTCTCCTGCTGATGTTCAGGTGTATATCAGTATGTAGTGTCTCTACTTTAAAGAGTCCTCTCCTGCTGATGTTCAGGTGTATATCAGTATTTGTTCAGGCTCTAATGTGCTGTCATACACATAAGAGATTAAATCATTAGACTAATATTAAAGACTCACACACTCAGACACTCACACACTCAGACAGACAGACAGACAGACAGACAGACAGACAGACAGACAGACAGACAGACAGACAGACAGACAGACAGACAGACAGACAGACAGGGTGTTAGGTGTTAAACGTAAAGACACATAACGAGAGCTCTTCCTCTTGAATCTTGAGAGAGTAATAACCTGATCAAACAGACTCACCTCTCTTCATCTCCTCCGTCTCCTCCCT